TTAATGCCTCAACTGCTGCACATGGCTGCGTCCTTTGTGGAGCACAGTTACAATCAACAATGGGATTGAATTGCAAATGCTCCTCCCACAGACCTTTCAAGGCAGTGTAGTACTGGGTAACGTTGAGGTTTCCCTGTTTACAAGCAATAATTTGGTCTCCTAGGTTTGACAGTTTAATAGCATTTGCATACCCAAAACGAGCTTTCAGCTCTTCCCACAAATCATGAGCTACATCATGCTGCATCACACTTCTCCTAATCTCCTTGTCAACAGAATTCAAGATCCAGCATAGAACAAGAGTATTGCACGCATCCAATGTACTGAAATTAGGACTAGCTACTCCTGGAGATGGAATCGATCCATCTATAAAACCAATTTTGTGTTTGGTTTTCAGTGCCATTCTCATGGCTCGCTGCCACATCTGATAGTTGGGTCCATCGAGAACTTCTGAAACGATGGCCTGAGAGATGTTCTCATTTGGGTTAATGTAGAAAGGGTTACCGAATTGGGGATCTGGACGATCGTTGTTGTTGACGTTAGAACCTCCACTCGTCTGGCCTGAGAATGAGCCGAAAGGAATGCCTCCTGGAGGTGTGTTTGGAGGTGTGTTCGTCGCCATCGCAGGTCACTGAATGAGCAACCGCTCTGATACTATATCAAACTAGCTACAGCTAGGGTTTGCGGAAGAAGACGACGGCACACAAAGGTGGGGAAATGCGCAAGAGAGCAAGGGATCTCTCTGCTTTTCTATATATACTCAACTGTAAAGTGTTCTTCAAGATACAAAATACTGGAACAGTAAAAACGGAAATGATAAACTGAAATTCAAAGTTACAGTAATAGTAAAACGACAGATGGCGTGCATCCATTCGCTCGGTGAAAGTCCACCCAACGGTTAACTCGGAAACCTCCACAACGTCGTCGCTTTGGTTCATCGTTTAAGTTGGATGGAGGGAACCCAGAAACGTTTCGTTTCTGGGTTGGTTCTTCTCTGCTTCACTTCGATCTTCTGCACTTCAGCTCTGCAGATTCTGATCATCATCTTCTTCAGTTGATACTCCCCTCGTCCAAAACCAAACCCCCAAAACAGAAAACTAGAGCAAAAGGTCTTGCATGTCGGTATTTTAACTGGATCAGAGCCTTCGTGGTCAGGTTACCCCGATCCGGGTCGTTGTTTAGCCAAGACGAGGAAGAAGAGAGTGAGTTTCGCCGATTTGAGGAGAGGAGGAGAAGAAGAGCGGCGGCGGTAGAGAGGTAAGAGGGGAGAAGACGGCGATTGAAGGCTAGGGTTTTGGTTTGGAGGAGAGGCGAGAGAGGTTGAGAAGGCAGAGAGAGGATGATGGCGGCGGCGGTGTTAGATGATGGCTAGGGTATCGTTCTTCTGAAGAAGACGAGAGAGATGAGAGAAGAGAGGGTCGAGAGGAGTGAGGCGGCCAATTTTGCTTTAGGGTTAGAATGATTAGGGTTTATTGAGATGAATATAAACCTCCTCTTTTAAAACGACGTAATTATCCTTAGGGTTTCTAATTATTTATGTGGCCTTACCACCGCGTTTAGGTGGATTTACGAAACTACCCTTCCCCCTTCTCTGAAATAAAACGAGGAATCTAAAAAAAATTGTGCAGAGAGGGTTTCGAACCGGGTCCTCGAGTTCAAACGAGCGAATACGAATGGCGTTTTAGCCAGTTGAGCTGCTAGCCCATCATGCATAAATGTAATCGCCCCATTAAAATTTATTTGGTTTAAAATCCCTAATAAGAAATGTTGAATGTAGAACGCGGCAAAAGATATAATTAAAATGATCAAAGTTCCTAACGAACTACGTGGACTTTGATCCCGTCTAACGGGTACGTAGGCAACCTATAAGGTTCGAGTCCAACTAACCAATTAACTTTATCTTTAAATTGTATGTCAGTGGGCGTATAATTAATACAACTAAGAGTGAATTTGGGAAGATTCTCCCCAAGAGAAGTTCAGCACAAGTTCAAAGAAGATTGGAAGCCTACCCATGATGGTTTCTACCTCTTCCCCTTGTGTTTCTCCCATCTGTTGTTGAAAGATGAATCCTCTGCGCACATCCAATTCTTCCTTCGCCCTTCTCCCTGTACCACACCGAAGAAGCAATATGCCAATATGCTTGATGTACCAGCCAAGCCAGCTCGACAGTTTTCTAGCATGGAGTAGATTTTGTTTTCACTTGGGTGTTGTGAAACCCTAACTATCTACCATGTAGTTGTTGTTATGTGAATTGAATGATTGTTTATGGGTGTTGTTTAATTCAATGATTGAGGTATTATTCATGTTGATTGTGCATGTTTTGTGCTTAGCAATCTAATTGGCCAATTTAACCTAGACTAGAGAGGGAAAACCCCTTTTCAAGGGAGGCTCAATTGAGTTGGTATTCCTAGGGCTTTTTAAGTCACTTATCTAGGTTAATTTAGGGCAAACCTCGATGTTGGATTAAGCAATTTGGTTAAGCGCGCTTAAGCCGACCAACTATTGGGTTGAGTGAGGGAGTAAGTTAACCATCGAATGCCTAAACCGAGAGGGCCGAGTGACAGCCTATAATGTATCCCTCTGTTTAGCAATCGAGAGTGTGGTCTACGACCATATTTGCGTCCCCTAGCAGTTCGCGGTCACCTTGCCCATAGAAATCGTTTCGATTCACATACCATGGTAGTAGTTAGGGGGAAGCGACACCGAGTGAACCTTCTTACAAAAGAGCTTTCAAAACCATTTACTTTTACCTTGCTTTACTTTAATCGGCAAATTTTTCAAACAAAAGCGAGTCGCAAGATAATGATTCAAATGACTGAAGTAGGGGTACACGGACCGGCCCGAGTCGATATTTATACATAATTGCCCTATACTGCACCCGACTAAGGTTTATACTTTGACGTTAGGCGGGAATTAATTGTGGTATTCGGGACGAGTCCATTTTTTGGCACCGTTGCCAGGGATCAACAGTATGTTATCTTGAAAAGGTTGTTTGACGTTAATCTAGCTTTTAATTTCCAGTTTTGAAAGTGTGTATGCTTTGCTTGTGCTAGACTTGGTGGTGTGTCTAAGACCTCCTGATTAGTTAGTGATGACATCTCATATGTGAACTCTAGCATTTAAAGGCTGCCATCATGGTGAAGAGATGTTAGGGATTGAGAGAAATAGCATGCGCATTTTTCGCATTAAATTGTCCTGACCCCACTGGTCGAGAGTGAGTGATTCATTTTTCATATTCTTTATACTCTTGTATCCCGGTGAGGACCTAGATTGCTCGATCGCTGTTCTGATGTCTTGAGTTGGATGCATGAGTTGACTGTTTTGAGTGAGTGGTTGAGTCGAGTCTGGGTTGGATGGTGAACAGAAGGGAGACCCTTCCGTTGCTCGATTTTGCTGCACTCGAATGTCCTCAGATGAAAACCCAAATTCTCCTTGGAAGACACACTCCTAGACTCTGAACTGAGTTTGGAGTCTGAGCTTGAGATATCACTGTCATGAGAAGACTCCCCATGAGAAACTGCAGCTGCAACTCCTCCAGACATTCTGAGTTTCTTGTTCTTCAGCTTCCAACATTCATCCTTCACATGACCCTCTTTCTTACAGTAGCGGCAAAACTTCTTTCCATCTTGATCTTCACCAGGAACAGCCAGAGCCACTGTTTGTACACCTCTTGTAATTCCCTTGTCAGCCTTCAACTTTTGTTCATGTTGCAACACATCATTAATTGCAACTTCCACTGTGGGAAGTGGTTTCATCATCAGAATTTGTGTGTGAACCACATCAAATTCTGGTCGAAGGCCCTTCAAGAACCTAATAAGATAGTCAACTTCCTGCTTCTGCTTTAATGCCTCAACTGCTGCACATGGCTGTGTCCTTTGTGGAGCACAGTTACAATCAACAATGGGATTGAATTGCAAATGCTCCTCCCACAGACCTTTCAAGGCAGTGTAGTACTGGGTAACGTTGAGGTTTCCCTGTTTACAAGCAATAATTTGGTCTCCTAGGTTTGACAGTTTAATAGCATTTGCATACCCAAAACGAGCTTTCAGCTCTTCCCACAAATCACGAGCTACATCATGCTGCATCACACTTCTCCTAATCTCCTTGTCAACAGAATTCAAGATCCAGCATAGAACAAGAGTATTGCACGCATCCAATGTACTGAAATTAGGACTAGCTACTCCTGGAGATGGAATCGATCCATCTATAAAACCAATTTTGTGTTGTGTTTTCAGTGCCATTCTCATGGCTCGCTGCCACATCTGATAGTTGGGTCCATCGAGAACTTCTGAAACGATGGCCTGAGAGATGTTCTCATTTGGGTTAATGTAGAAAGGGTTACCGAATTGGGGATCTGGACGATCGTTGTTGTTGACGTTAGAACCTCCACTCGTCTGGCCTGAGAATGAGCCGAAAGGAATGCCTCCTGGAGGTGTGTTTGGAGGTGTGTTCGTCGCCATCGCAGGTCACTGAATGAGCAACCTCTCTGATACTATATCAAACTAGCTACAGCTAGGGTTTGCGGAAGAAGACGACGGCACACAAAGGTGGGGAAATGCGCAAGAGAGCAAGGGATCTCTCTGCTTTTCTATATATACTCAACTGTAAAGTGTTCTTCAAGATACAAAATACTGGAACAGTAAAAACGGAAATGATAAACTGAAATTCAAAGTTACAGTAATAGTAAAACGACAGATGGCGTGCATCCATTCGCTCGGTGAAAGTCCACCCAACGGTTAACTCGGAAACCTCCACAACGTCGTCGCTTTGGTTCATCGTTTAAGTTGGATGGAGGGAACCCAGAAACGTTTCGTTTCTGGGTTGGTTCTTCTCTGCTTCACTTCGATCTTCTGCACTTCAGCTCTGCAGATTCTGATCATCATCTTCTTCAGTTGATACTCCCCTCGTCCAAAACCAAACCCCCAAAACAGAAAACTAGAGCAAAAGGTCTTGCATGTCGGTATTTTAACTGGATCAGAGCCTTCGTGGTCAGGTTACCCCGATCCGGGTCGTTGTTTAGCCAAGACGAGGAAGAAGAGAGTGAGTTTCGCCGATTTGAGGAGAGGAGGAGAAGAAGAGCGGCGGCGGTAGAGAGGTAAGAGGGGAGAAGACGGCGATTGAAGGCTAGGGTTTTGGTTTGGAGGAGAGGCGAGAGAGGTTGAGAAGGCAGAGAGAGGATGATGGCGGCGGCGGTGTTAGATGATGGCTAGGGTATCGTTCTTCTGAAGAAGACGAGAGAGATGAGAGAAGAGAGGGTCGAGAGGAGTGAGGCGGCCAATTTTGCTTTAGGGTTAGAATGATTAGGGTTTATTGAGATGAATATAAACCTCCTCTTTTAAAACGACGTAATTATCCTTAGGGTTTCTAATTATTTATGTGGCCTTACCACCGCGTTTAGGTGGATTTACGAAACTACCCTTCCCCCTTCTCTGAAATAAAACGAGGAATCTAAAAAAAATTGTGCAGAGAGGGTTTCGAACCGGGTCCTCGAGTTCAAACGAGCGAATACGAATGGCGTTTTAGCCAATTGAGCTGCTAGCCCATCATGCATAAATGTAATCGCCCCATTAAAATTTATTTGGTTTAAAATCCCTAATAAGAAATGTTGAATGTAGAACGCGGCAAAAGATATAATTAAAATGATCAAAGTTCCTAACGAACTACGTGGACTTTGATCCCGTCTAACGGGTACGTAGGCAACCTATAAGGTTCGAGTCCAACTAACCAATTAACTTTATCTTTAAATTGTATGTCAGTGGGCGTATAATTAATACAACTAAGAGTGAATTTGGGAAGATTCTCCCCAAGAGAAGTTCAGCACAAGTTCAAAGAAGATTGGAAGCCTACCCATGATGGTTTCTACCTCTTCCCCTTGTGTTTCTCCCATCTGTTGTTGAAAGATGAATCCTCTGCGCACATCCAATTCTTCCTTCGCCCTTCTCCCTGTACCACACCGAAGAAGCAATATGCCAATATGCTTGATGTACCAGCCAAGCCAGCTCGACAGTTTTCTAGCATGGAGTAGATTTTGTTTTCACTTGGGTGTTGTGAAACCCTAACTATCTACCATGTAGTTGTTGTTATGTGAATTGAATGATTGTTTATGGGTGTTGTTTAATTCAATGATTGAGGTATTATTCATGTTGATTGTGCATGTTTTGTGCTTAGCAATCTAATTGGCCAATTTAACCTAGACTAGAGAGGGAAAACCCCTTTTCAAGGGAGGCTCAATTGAGTTGGTATTCCTAGGGCTTTTTAAGTCACTTATCTAGGTTAATTTAGGGCAAACCTCGATGTTGGATTAAGCAATTTGGTTAAGCGCGCTTAAGCCGACCAACTATTGGGTTGAGTGAGGGAGTAAGTTAACCATCGAATGCCTAAACCGAGAGGGCCGAGTGACAGCCTATAATGTATCCCTCTGTTTAGCAATCGAGAGTGTGGTCTACGACCATATTTGCGTCCCCTAGCAGTTCGCGGTCACCTTGCCCATAGAAATCGTTTCGATTCACATACCATGGTAGTAGTTAGGGGGAAGCGACACCGAGTGAACCTTCTTACAAAAGAGCTTTCAAAACCATTTACTTTTACCTTGCTTTACTTTAATCGGCAAATTTTTCAAACAAAAGCGAGTCGCAAGATAATGATTCAAATGACTGAAGTAGGGGTACACGGACCGGCCCGAGTCGATATTTATACATAATTGCCCTATACTGCACCCGACTAAGGTTTATACTTTGACGTTAGGCGGGAATTAATTGTGGTATTCGGGACGAGTCCATTTTTTGGCACCGTTGCCAGGGATCAACAGTATGTTATCTTGAAAAGGTTGTTTGACGTTAATCTAGCTTTTAATTTCCAGTTTTGAAAGTGTGTATGCTTTGCTTGTGCTAGACTTGGTGGTGTGTCTAAGACCTCCTGATTAGTTAGTGATGACATCTCATATGTGAACTCTAGCATTTAAAGGCTGCCATCATGGTGAAGAGATGTTAGGGATTGAGAGAAATAGCATGCGCATTTTTCGCATTAAATTGTCCTGACCCCACTGGTCGAGAGTGAGTGATTCATTTTTCATATTCTTTATACTCTTGTATCCCGGTGAGGACCTAGATTGCTCGATCGCTGTTCTGATGTCTTGAGTTGGATGCATGAGTTGACTGTTTTGAGTGAGTGGTTGAGTCGAGTCTGGGTTGGATGGTGAACAGAAGGGAGACCCTTCCGTTGCTCGATTTTGCTGCACTCGAATGTCCTCAGATGAAAACCCAAATTCTCCTTGGAAGACACACTCCTAGACTCTGAACTGAGTTTGGAGTCTGAGCTTGAGATATCACTGTCATGAGAAGACTCCCCATGAGAAACTGCAGCTGCAACTCCTCCAGACATTCTGAGTTTCTTGTTCTTCAGCTTCCAACATTCATCCTTCACATGACCCTCTTTCTTACAGTAGCGGCAAAACTTCTTTCCATCTTGATCTTCACCAGGAACAGCCAGAGCCACTGTTTGTACACCTCTTGTAATTCCCTTGTCAGCCTTCAACTTTTGTTCATGTTGCAACACATCATTAATTGCAACTTCCACTGTGGGAAGTGGTTTCATCATCAGAATTTGTGTGTGAACCACATCAAATTCTGGTCGAAGGCCCTTCAAGAACCTAATAAGATAGTCAACTTCCTGCTTCTGCTTTAATGCCTCAACTGCTGCACATGGCTGTGTCCTTTGTGGAGCACAGTTACAATCAACAATGGGATTGAATTGCAAATGCTCCTCCCACAGACCTTTCAAGGCAGTGTAGTACTGGGTAACGTTGAGGTTTCCCTGTTTACAAGCAATAATTTGGTCTCCTAGGTTTGACAGTTTAATAGCATTTGCATACCCAAAACGAGCTTTCAGCTCTTCCCACAAATCACGAGCTACATCATGCTGCATCACACTTCTCCTAATCTCCTTGTCAACAGAATTCAAGATCCAGCATAGAACAAGAGTATTGCACGCATCCAATGTACTGAAATTAGGACTAGCTACTCCTGGAGATGGAATCGATCCATCTATAAAACCAATTTTGTGTTTGGTTTTCAGTGCCATTCTCATGGCTCGCTGCCACATCTGATAGTTGGGTCCATCGAGAACTTCTGAAACGATGGCCTGAGAGATGTTCTCATTTGGGTTAATGTAGAAAGGGTTACCGAATTGGGGATCTGGACGATCGTTGTTGTTGACGTTAGAACCTCCACTCGTCTGGCCTGAGAATGAGCCGAAAGGAATGCCTCCTGGAGGTGTGTTTGGAGGTGTGTTCGTCGCCATCGCAGGTCACTGAATGAGCAACCGCTCTGATACTATATCAAACTAGCTACAGCTAGGGTTTGCGGAAGAAGACGACGGCACACAAAGGTGGGGAAATGCGCAAGAGAGCAAGGGATCTCTCTGCTTTTCTATATATACTCAACTGTAAAGTGTTCTTCAAGATACAAAATACTGGAACAGTAAAAACGGAAATGATAAACTGAAATTCAAAGTTACAGTAATAGTAAAACGACAGATGGCGTGCATCCATTCGCTCGGTGAAAGTCCACCCAACGGTTAACTCCGAAACCTCCACAACGTCGTCGCTTTGGTTCATCGTTTAAGTTGGATGGAGGGAACCCAGAAACGTTTCGTTTCTGGGTTGGTTCTTCTCTGCTTCACTTCGATCTTCTGCACTTCAGCTCTGCAGATTCTGATCATCATCTTCTTCAGTTGATGCTCCCCTCGTCCAAAACCAAACCCCCAAAACAGAAAACTAGAGCAAAAGGTCTTGCATGTCGGTATTTTAACTGGATCAGAGCCTTCGTGGTCAGGTTACCCCGATCCGGGTCGTTGTTTAGCCAAGACGAGGAAGAAGAGAGTGAGTTTCGCCGATTTGAGGAGAGGAGGAGAAGAAGAGCGGCGGCGGTAGAGAGGTAAGAGGGGAGAAGATGGCGATTGAAGGCTAGGGTTTTGGTTTGGAGGAGAGGCGAGAGAGGTTGAGAAGGCAGAGAGAGGATGATGGCGGCGGCGGTGTTAGATGATGGCTAGGGTATCGTTCTTCTGAAGAAGACGAGAGAGAGAGAGAGAGAGAGAGAGAGAGATGAGAGAAGAGAGGGTCGAGAGGAGTGAGGAGGCCAATTTTGCTTTAGGGTTAGAATGATTAGGGTTTATTGAGATGAATATAAACCTCCTCTTTTAAAACGACGTAATTATCCTTAGGGTTTCTAATTATTTATGTGGCCTTACCACCGCGTTTAGGTGGATTTACGAAACTACCCTTCCCCTTCTCTGAAATAAAACGAGGAATCTAAAAAAAATTGTGCAGAGAGGGTTTCGAACCGGGTCCTCGAGTTCAAACGAGCGAATACGAATGGCGTTTTAGCCAGTTGAGCTGCTAGCCCATCATGCATAAATGTAATCGCCCCATTAAAATTTATTTGGTTTAAAATCCCTAATAAGAAATGTTGAATGTAGAACGCGGCAAAAGATATAATTAAAATGATCAAAGTTCCTAACGAACTACGTGGACTTTGATCCCGTCTAACGGGTACGTAGGCAACCTATAAGGTTCGAGTCCAACTAACCAATTAACTTTATCTTTAAATTGTATGTCAGTGGGCGTATAATTAATACAACTAAGAGTGAATTTGGGAAGATTCTCCCCAAGAGAAGTTCAGCACAAGTTCAAAGAAGATTGGAAGCCTACCCATGATGGTTTCTACCTCTTCCCCTTGTGTTTCTCCCATCTGTTGTTGAAAGATGAATCCTCTGCGCACATCCAATTCTTCCTTCGCCCTTCTCCCTGTACCACACCGAAGAAGCAATATGCCAATATGCTTGATGTACCAGCCAAGCCAGCTCGACAGTTTTCTAGCATGGAGTAGATTTCGTTTTCACTTGGGTGTTGTGAAACCCTAACTATCTACCATGTAGTTGTTGTTATGTGAATTGAATGATTGTTTATGGGTGTTGTTTAATTCAATGATTGAGGTATTATTCATGTTGATTGTGCATGTTTTGTGCTTAGCAATCTAATTGGCCAATTTAACCTAGACTAGAGAGGGAAAACCCCTTTTCAAGGGAGGCTCAATTGAGTTGGTATTCCTAGGGCTTTTTAAGTCACTTATCTAGGTTAATTTAGGGCAAACCTCGATGTTGGATTAAGCAATTTGGTTAAGCGCGCTTAAGCCGACCAACTATTGGGTTGAGTGAGGGAGTAAGTTAACCATCGAATGCCTAAACCGAGAGGGCCGAGTGACAGCCTATAATGTATCCCTCTGTTTAGCAATCGAGAGTGTGGTCTACGACCATATTTGCGTCCCCTAGCAGTTCGCGGTCACCTTGCCCATAGAAATCGTTTCGATTCACATACCATGGTAGTAGTTAGGGGGAAGCGACACCAAGTGAACCTTCTTACAAAAGAGCTTTCAAAACCATTTACTTTTACCTTGCTTTACTTTAATCGGCAAATTTTTCAAACAAAAGCGAGTCGCAAGATAATGATTCAAATGACTGAAGTAGGGGTACACGGACCGGCCCGAGTCGATATTTATACATAATTGCCCTATAATGCACCCGACTAAGGTTTATACTTGGACGTTAGGCGGGAATTAATTGTGGTATTCGGGACGAGTCCATTTTTTGGCACCGTTGCCAGGGATCAACAGTATGTTATCTTGAAAAGGTTGTTTGACGTTAATCTAGCTTTTAATTTCCAGTTTTGAAAGTGTGTATGCTTTGCTTGTGCTAGACTTGGTGGTGTGTCTAAGACCTCCTGATTAGTTAGTGATGACATCTCATATGTGAACTCTAGCATTTAAAGGCTGCCATCATGGTGAAGAGATGTTAGGGATTGAGAGAAATAGCATGCGCATTTTTCGCATTAAATTGTCCTGACCCCACTGGTCGAGAGTGAGTGATTCATTTTTCATATTCTTTATACTCTTGTATCCCGGTGAGGACCTAGATTGCTCGATCGCTGTTCTGATGTCTTGAGTTGGATGCATGAGTTGACTGTTTTGAGTGAGTGGTTGAGTCGAGTCTGGGTTGGTTGGTGAACAGAACGGAGACCCTTCCGTTGCTCGATTTTGCTGCACTCGAATGTCCTTTGTGGTGGTTGTCCAGGTTGCTATTGAAGTTGTTCATGTGTTGATGCTTGGAAACCAGTATGATTCACGTATTCTGTGCCTTTATGACTTGTCCCCAATGTTGGTTGATTGAAATATGTGAGCTTACCTTGAGTATGACTTGGTTTGCTTGGGGACAAGCAAACAGTTAAGTGTGGGGGAATTTGATAGCATCGTATTTGCACGTGTTTTCACTCTGGTTTCCTGTCCATTTTGGCTCGAATTGATTGTTCCTTGGCCTATTTTACGCTAGGTTGTGTTGTTTTGTCGTATTTCAGGTCCTAGCAAGTAAAGAGGTGCATAGGCGCAAGTTTCGGGTCATTTGGAGGTCAGATGGCGATTCACAGGAGGAATTACGGGCAGCCCCTGCCAAATTACGACCGTAATTGGTCAGGGCATGCCCGTAAATCTATTGCCGAGCCTCTTTGCCAAATAATTCTTCTCGGCGCTAAAATTACGGGCAAGCCTCCAGAAAATTACGACCGTAATTCCTAAAATACTGGCGGTAATTGTGGAATTACGGGCGCAGATCCTCCTCCTTCAGAGTAATTGAAACATGCGTTTTGGGGCAATTTACGGGCAGGCCGTGATTACGGCCGTAATTCTGCCCGTATTTCGCCCAAAGTCGGGTTTTTGGAGGCAGATTCGAGCCATGGAAGGGGGATTCGAGTTTCTAGAGCAAAAACAGAGTTTTAGAGAGAGAAAGAGCGAAGAACAAACCCTATGAGCTATTTGGAGTGGATTTCTCACCATTGAAGCCCAGATTGCGTCTCCAAGGGTGACGATTGACATCCCAGAGCGGATTTTCCTCATCTTTATGAGTATGACTACTTGATAGACCGTTAGTTACACATGTTTTTACCCTCATACTTACACCGTTTGAGGTGTTGATTCTCGTGTTTTAGGCCGATTTCACGCTAGGTTGTGCTTGTTTGTGTTATTTCAGGTCCTAGTACGTGAATGAAGGCTTAGGAGCGAGTCTGGGGTCGATTGGACGACAAACGGACGAAGGGCGAGCTTGTTGGGGAGCCGCACGGCCAGGCCATGGATACGAACGGCCAGGCCATGGAGACGCACGGCCGTGCACTTGCACCATATGGCCGTGCGCCTCATGCCGAGGCCACGCACGGGCAGAGCAGAGAACCGCACGGCCGTGCAGCATACAAACTTGGCTGTGCGGGTTGGTGCGAGAGCTTGCACGGCCACAATCCAGACTTGCACGGCCGTGCGCCTGGCCGTGCAAGATGGCTGAGTCGACTTAAGTGATACGGTGCGTTTTGAGGGTGCACGGCCAGAATTGTGTAGTGCACGGCCGTGCACCTGGCCGTGCAACTCGGGAAAACTGATTTTTAAAGCCTATTTCGAGCCAAAAGGAGGGGATTCGAGTTTTTGAGAGACAGAGCGGTTCCTAGAGAGAGAAAGCGACGAACAAGAGCCTCCAAGTGCCCTAGATCGATCTTCAACACCATTGGAGCCCGTCTTGAGCTTGGAGAAGTGCGATTAAACGTCCAGGAGCAGAAATCCATCTTCACAGTATGATTTCTGCGTCTGATTCTGCTTTTGCTTCTCTCTCCATGGAGTAGTTCTCCCATTCATCTGGGTGTGGGAAACCCTAGTTCTGTATGTTAGGTTTGATTGTATGAACCCAAGTGTTGATTCTATGATTTGATTATATTCGATTGAGGTTTGAATGATTGAATGACTTGAATCCTGATCAAATTCCTGTTGTTTCTGCTTTAACCTAGAATGATAATATCTGCCTAGGTTGATAGAGTATCCTTAATCGAAGGTAGTGAATTGGTGACTTTAGTCGAGGAGCCAGTTCACTATTCTGTACCGAATTCCATTCGGTAGTGGAGGTTTTGTTCATAGGGCCTCAATCTGTTTACTCCGGTGTAGGTTAGTCGCCAGCTAGAGACTCAGATTGAGAGGGTCTGAAGACCTTTAGTCGAGACTTCAGACCGATTAAGAACCTTCCGTAGTATAACTTTCATAGAAATCGAACTTGGTAATTACAATCCGGCTTAACTGCAGACTAGGGGGAACCATATCCGGGTGACCTCTCTTAACCTGAATACAACCGTTTAGTTGCTTTGCTTGCTTGTTAGTTTAGGCCTTCACTAAAGTTTCATTGCTAGATAATACGAATTCACTGAGTAGTCATCACATCTAGGACCCGGGTTGACATTGAAACCCAAACCCGCTATACTACGCTTTAGGAAGTGGTTACACTTGGCCATTTTCTAGAGTGACAGTAGGAGTGAGTCAAGTTTTTGGCGCCGTTGCCAGGGACGGCTAGGTTGTTGAAGAAAAGTGATTTCTGTTACTTTAGCATTTTCATTTTTTTTGCATTGCGTTTCTGTTTTTCCCACTTGTGCCTTCACGGGGTTTGCATTGCTTGATTGTGTGCAGATAGTGCATGACCCGTAGCCAGTCGGGAGGTTTACTGCCGTTGAACCCTGAGATTGAGCGCACCTGCAACCAACTTCGGCGACAACAGCAAGCTAGACTGGCTACGGTGGAGCGCCGAGACGGCCATTTGACCAGCGACTCCGAGGAAGAGCACGAGATGGAAGGCGATCAGAACCCGCCTCCTCAGAACCAGATCCTGGGAACGACAAACACCCCCAGGGAGCTGGGCACCATCACCATCCACCACCACCGGGTCCCACCCTGGAGTACTACTATACTCCACGGATTGCTGACATCCGCCCGGTCATCCTCTATCCGCCCATTCCTGCAAACAACTTCGAGATCAAGCCATGCTGGATTCAGCTCATCACCACCTCTATCCAGTTCCATGGCTTGAAGGATGAGGAAGCCCGGGTACACCTTTCCCGTTTTCTGCAGCTGACGAACGGGTTCAAGCTGAATGGTGTTCCGGATGATGCAATCCGCCTTCACCTCTTCCCCCATTCTCTGGCGGGGAATGCT